CATACATACATACATACATACATACATACATACATACATACATACATATATACATATATATATATATATACACTAATGCATATGTGTATATTCCTCAAGTTCACTGAGACGGACCTGGAATATATTTCGTCTGAATGAAATACTTCCTGTCAGTTGCACAGTGTTTTGAAGCTTAGCGCATGTTATCTCTACTGCCTTGGTCTGAGCTACACTGCGAATTTGACTGGCTGACTTTCTGTTTCAGCCTCCCCACCTTCCTCGACAAAACGCGAAATTATCAGCTTAGTCTCAACACGAGACAACCAGCTTAATATCGAGCCAGTCTTGATGGAGTGTTGCTGATGCAAGTGGTGATAATACATATATATATCGCCAAAAATAAATATCTGTATTTTCAGCGGCAAGTATAAATTTGAATTCAGCATATTTTATTGACTCATGGATAAAGCAATCACTTTTGAAAATGTGCAAGCAATTGCATCTGTACTTTAGCCAACAAGGCAATGAAATTTCATTGCTGATGGGTGATCGTTATCCACTTATGGCCATAGCTGGATGTGCGACTCCTCACAAAACTAAAATCAGAGTAATAATTTGATTCCATATTGAGCCAAGAGAGCAAAGAAGTTCCACGGAATTAAATAAAAGTTTTTCCTTTATAAAGAATTAAGTGAGAATCGTATGACCGTACATATTTAGCAATTGAATGAAGAAAATGGCTGGGCAGACATTAACTTACAAGTGTAGGACTAAAAGCTAAGTAAGCTAATCTCACAAGAAGACAACGGCGGACTCTTCCTACATTTTAATGGGAAGTTGAGATATACTCAGTTATTGGGTCACCCTCTCTTGGCTCTCTGTCAGATATCTTTAGCATCTGACTTAATTCTTTAAAATGTTTCAGGTAATATCAAGTTTCGACTGTCTGCGTAGAAACCGAATGATGGTGTCTCGAAGAGTAAACTTTTCAGAAAAATCAAACAACCCCAGACCAAAAATCATTAGCCATAGGCTTCTGCTGAGATCGTCATTCAAATCTCTTTTTCGCGCATTTTAATGAGAAATTTTAGCCGGTACAGCAGTTATATTTAACATTAATCTAAATGCAGTTTTTCTATACCCTATCGCATGATATTTTCTTCTCAAATTTTCATTTAAG